GCAGCTCGGGGGTGTCAACCAGCGCCTGGCCACTGTCGAATCCTCTATGTCCGCGTTCGACTCCCTCAGAGAGAGCATCACGTCGCACGACAGGAACATGGCAACGCTCACTCAGAGAATCAACACGATTGAGTCTCGCATCGCCTCCTCCTCGGACGCTGCCGCCGTCGCCGCGCTGCGCATACAGATGGAGCAGCGCATGGCCGCGATCGAGTCTTCACAGTCTTCGCGTTCCAGTGGCAGTTCAGACGTATCAGGCCCCCCCCACCTCTCGCCGCCGTACTGGTACGCCTCCGTCTATTGCGGGCAGCAGCACCAGCCGCTCCCATGAGGATGAATTCAACCCGCTCAAGGTCTGGGTCGGGGGCTTCACCATACCCATGCTCAAGGCCTCGCTAGAGGAGCACGGCAACCTCCTGGTGCAGAGCTTGCCCACGCACATCAGGCAGGCAGGCATCGTCATCAAGGGACACAATCTTGCGAAGAGCTATTCAATCCAGTTCGCCAGCAACGTCGACGCGTCCTCCTTCATCCACCACGCTCGTGCCCAAGGCATCTTGTGGAACGGCTCCCACTCCAACTCGCAGGTCCAGCTCCGGTGCCGCCGCGATGCCCCGACCTCCGTTCGCCACAAGAACAAGTTCCTCGGAAAGATCTGGCAGCTGGTCAGTGCACATCTTCGGCAGACTGGACAGTGGAACGACGCCACGCACAAACTCGGAGTCAACGGGTTCAAGGGCATCCTCTTCTGCGCTGTCAACGACGTGGTCCACGAGCTCTTCTCCGTTGCCGAGCAGGACGTCGGCCATTTCGAGATCTCTCCGCACCCCGTCGGCATCGCCGCCTTCCAGATATCGGCTGACCAGGCCAGCTCTATGATCACAGCCGCGCGCTCGTCTTGAACGAGTGCCTCGCCGACCAGGTTTGAACCAGCCAGCGTGGCTGGGATGCGTGTGCCCTACCCTCCGTCGCCTTCCTCCGCTAGGTGTCTGAGCTCATCGGCCTCCTCGTCCTCCTCTTCTGGGTCGTCTGACTCTTCTACTGGTTCGACCTCTTCGAGTGGGTCCTGTTTACCGTCTTCCTTTGGGCCTTCTTGTTTCTCTCCGTTTCCTGGGGATTGGACTCATTCGCCGTTTATCTGGGAGTCTCACTTGAGTATCGTTTCGTGGAATGCTCGGTCGCTTTTTGGAGGCATCACCTCGACTCTGGGCATCGGCAAACGCAAAGTGTCTCGCCTTGTATCCTATGTCCAGAAGATCCAGGTTGCTTGCATTCAGGAAGCTAGAGGCACCAAGCTCGACCTCCAGAGGCTGCGTTCTGAAGTCCATGACATTTGGGGTATTGGGTCCTTCTTCGACGACAGGTCTGCGGGAGGTGTTCTCATCTTTCTGCACCCCGATCTTCGGAGTCAACTCCAATACTGTCGCTACTCCGTCCTTGTACAGGGCCGAATTCAGTCTCTCACGCTGGGGGGGCAGCCGTGGGGCGCTGCAGCTTCTCAACATTCATCTCGATCCTTGTCTCGCCCTTCAAGACCAGAAACATCATCTTATGCTTGTCAGACGTGCTCTACTCCCCCCTCTGTGGCTACGGGCTTCGTCTTAGGCGATTTCAACTTTCCTGCGGCAGGTGAAGGCAGCTTCCATGCATCGGGCGCTGTGCACTACTCCAGTTCCGACGCCGCCGCTTTCTTCGAGCAGCGCTTCGCTGATCTTTGCGATGTCGAGCAACCCGCTTTCACGCACCGGGTGACTCAGGAGGGGGAAGGAGTTCAAGTCGTTCAAAGTTACAGTCGTATCGATCGCATATACACAAACATGTTCAGCGCTACCATTCTTGAATGCCACCCCAAGGCCCTCACCCTGGAGCCCATCTCGAAGGTTGGCAAGCTTTCGGACCATGCCCCCGTATGTCTGACGCTCAGCCCTGGGTCCAGTTGTGGTTTTCGTGTTCCCAGGTGGGTCACCAAACATTCGCAGTTTCCTGTCGCTGACAGCGATTTACTTTCTTTGGCGGGACCGCTCTCGGACGATCCGTTCGAAAAGCACTCGCAGACCAAGGACATCCTTGTACAGGCGTGTAAGGATGTTACCAACTTCAGCGCTGAGCAGACCAACAAGTCGCTGGCTGAGAAAATTGCATGGTCTCTTTCAGCGCTTCGAGGCACTCTGCGAGGTCAGCTCTGGCTGGTGCGCAAGGCTGTTCTGGCCTACCCCGTGCTGAGCCGCTTCCTCGACCCAGAGTCTGCCATGTGGATTGACGTTCGGAGCTTCCATTCCCACTTGAACGAAATGAAGCACGAGCTCATCTCTCAGCAAATCAACGAAGTCGAGCAGCGAGCTATTTCAGACACCCGCAAGCGCGACGTCAAAATCAAGCTTTACAAATATCAAGCAGCGCGGGGAAGGAAGCATCGGCGCATTTCTCTATCTGGCGTCTCGGATCCGGCTGGCAAGGCCATCACAGATCCTGAGTGCGTCGCCGCCGAGCTCGCAGCCTACTGGGGCCAAGTGCATTCGTGTGTCGACTGCTCGGAAGAGGACCGACAACTGCTTAGGGAATTTGTTCAACCTTGCCCGCCTGAAATCATCTGGAAGCTTGAGCCCCAAGAGTTTGCTTGCCTCCTTTCCAAGGTTTCGGACTCTGCCCCTGGCCCCGACGGCATTCCGTACAGTTGCTATTCCAAGGGAGGGCCCGCAGTTGTCGACACTCGTTATGGGCTTTATTCCGAGATGCTCGCGAATGGAAGCGCCCCTGTCGGTTTTAACCATGGCATGGCCGTCTTCCTCGCCAAGGGCAGCGACCCAGAGGACACCCCCCAGAACATCATTCGCAAGCCCGAAGTCACTCGCCCCATTACTCTTGGGAATTCTGATAACAAGTTGGTTTCCGTCGCCCGCAACAGGTCCTTTTCGAGGGTCGCTGCCCAAACTGTGCTTGGCAACCAGCGAGGTTTTATCGCTGCCGTTTCATGAGCGAGAATATTAGCAACCTCGAGAGTAAGGCGGCGTTTTGGTTTGCCCAATACGGCCGCCACAACGCGGGGGCCATCTACTACGATGTTCGGGCTGCTTTTCCAAGTTTATTGCACAGTTTCATCTTCTGGGTTCTTCGGGCCGTGGGTATTCTTCCCTTCGTCATCAATGTCGTGCACGCGTTGTACAATGACGTTAAAGTCAACATCAACTTCAATGGGATCCGCAAGGCCTTCTTCGTAGCCTCCCGTGGGATCAAGCAAGGATGCCCTCTCTCAGGTACCATCATCTGCCTCGCCCTTGACCCGATCATCCGTTGCATGCTCACCCGTATTCCCAGGCGTCTCCCGTGCTTGGCAGCCTTTGCATACGACATCGGCGTCGCCGCTGCTGATGTCTTCTCCGCCTTCCGCGATCTCTTGCCTGCGTGGAAGATCGCGGGCGCAGCTGCGGGTCGCCGCATCCACCTTAAGAAGTCGGTCATTGTACCGCTTGGCGACCTCTCGCAGGATCAGTGCTGTGAGAAGATGGTCGCCTCTGGTGTGAGGACTGCCGAGGGCCTCACCTTCCAGCGCGCGGGCAAGTATCTGGGAGTGTACCTTGGGGAAGATGGCCGAAACGCTAGTTGGGGCCCTCCGTCTATGAAATGTATCGCGCGGGCCCATGACATCAAACATGTCGGGGCTGGGCTATGTAAATCCTTTCGCATGGTGAACCTCTTGGCTTTCTCGGTCCTGATGCATGTTGCCCAGTTCTACCCCCCCACGAAGCAGGCCCTTCAGGCTGTTCGTAAAGCGCAACAGTGTGTGACCAACGCCCCGAACAATGGCCTCCCCCAGAACCTCTTGCAGCAGCTCCGTGAATGGGGTTTCCCGACACAGGCTCGTTCTCTAGAGGCGGCAAGTCGCGCAGCCATGTACAGAGCTGCGATCATGTCGCCCGCTTTCGACGACGCCAGGGCCCTCTTCGAAGATGAGAGCGATGCTGACAACATGTTCGTGGTATGGAAATGGTCTAAGGTGTGGAGGTCGTCAGTCGCGTACGCCATGATTACCAACTTTCGCAAGCTCACGCCCATCCCGCCCGTCCCGCCCTTCGGCACTCCCAAGATTCAAGCCGTGACTGAGTCCGCCCTTCTCGCTCTGTCTCCGATTTCGTTGCGGTCGATTCTTGAGGTAAGGCTTAAGAAGTTCGGCTCGCCTCCGTCCCCTGCCCAGCTTGATCTTATGTACATTGCTCTCCAGCGTCTGCGTGAGCATGCCGCTGCCTGTACTGTAGCGAATGTGATACTCACGTTTTGTAACTCATGGTGCACCTCGCGCCGCTTCCGTGGGGTTACTCTTACTTGTAGGTTTTGTGACATGGCCTCTGCCGACTGCATGCTTCACCTTCTTGTTTGTCCCTGCTTCTCTCCCGTGTGTTGTCTTCTCCCCTCGCTTCCGCCCTCTTTTGCTTCCGCCTCTGCCTCCGCTCGCGCCTCTCTCTTCCTGCTTCTGCCCCTTGGTCTTTCTCAACTCATCAGCGTCGCCTTGTTTATTGATTTGTGTTACACGTGCTACCATGAAGCCAAATGGTGGCCCCGTGCGTCAGCGCCCCGCGCGAGAGAGCGTTTGGAGAAGCTGGCTAAAGCCCGCCTCATCCAGCTCCGCAGGCGGGCCCCGCCTGCCACCGTTGCCGCTCTGAGGAGGTGACGTGTCGTCCGCCGTCGTCGGTCGTCCTCTGGGGCCGAGTACTCCTCCTCCTCCTCCTCCTGCTCCTCCTCCTCAGCATCATCATCACCTTCATCGTCATCATCATCATCATCACCATCATCAGCATCCCCCTCCGCACCCCACCTGCCTGCGCGCGCGCCTTGCGAGCTACAGGGACACAGCTCCGTGTGCGACGATATTACTTCAGGAATGTCAAGCCTCCAGCCGCACATCCAGGCAGAGCTTTCATCCCAGATGTCGACGTATATAGACCCCTCCTCACCCCAAGGTGCGCCCTCTGCGCCAGGGCCGGGCCGCCCCCCCCGCCCCCCAGGCAAGGGCGCCGCGAAGGGCTTCGCGCCGCAGCAGAAGTTCGGGCAGGTCCAGCCGCAGGCCGCGCGGACAGGCGGCCCTCCCGCGCCCCCTCCGCCGCGCGGACTCCGCTCGGGAGGCGGGGGGGGGGGGCGGCTGGGAGGAGCATCGGAGGAGACAAAGGTACCCATGTCTCTATCCTTCGCCCGTCTTCCTCTTTTTGGGCCTCCTGGGCAGCCCTCGTCGCCATCGATGGATTCGCTTCGAAATCCGGGTCAGAACGCACCCCAGGGGAGGTCCGGGGAGTAGCGGTATGGGTGCATGTTGGCTTCCCCAGCTCGGGAGACGGGGGGGCGGGTGGGAGGGGCAGGGGATGAGGGCCCCTATGTGACCTCGGCCCTCTCTCCCCCTACAGGTTCGAGGTCTCGAGCTTCGAGCTTCGAGGGCGTTTTCGCAGGGTCTCGTCGGCTGTCCAGCCTCGGAATGTCTTCCAGCGGCTGCTCCTTGCCGAGAGCGTGTCGGGGATGCTCGGGTCGTCCCGAGCGGCCGCCAGAGGCCCGATTGGTGACCCGAAAGCAGGACGGCGCCCCAGCAGAACTTGCCGAGGCCGTGCCGACCGCCGCACCGAGCCGCACTGCGCCGAGGGGGTCGTCTGGGGCGACCTTGGCGGCGCGCGGCCGCAAACCCATGGTCGGAAACTGGAACGTATACATTACCAGTGGCGGGCTGTTTCTTGAATCCCAAGACTTTTTGAGGGTCGGGGACGACGCTGGGGTGGTGTGGTGTATATTTTTGTTCCCCGATTTCCCGGGAAAACAAAGAAAAATGTATACACCAGGATCCCGTATACACCAGAATCCGCGTTCTTGTGCGAATTTCAGCGCAGGGTCGGGAAACGCGTCGGTGTATAGAGTTCGTTTCCCTACATGGGCGCAAGTGTGGCCGCACCGAGCAATCGATCCTTCGCCTGCTAATTGGGGGTCAGCCTTTCGGGGGTCAGGAGAAGGTACGCTCTATTCCTGGGATGCTTCTGGTTCGGTGTGCCGGGCGGGTCTCACCAGAGATAGATTCCATGCTCGGCTGCATGGCAGCTAACACCAGTTGTATGCAACGCCATCAGTACCGAGTGCCGAGGAGGAGGAGGAGGAGGAGGACAACGAAGACGAGGAGCACGCCCCTGCAGAGCCTTCTGGACCCCCTGGACACTCTTGCCACGACCGGCAAACGGGCAAACGGCGGTCACGAAGACGCCGAGGGGCTGCATTGGGGGGGCAGGAAAACGGGCCGTCAGGGACTGCTCACGAGGCTTCTGAGAGTGGTTCAAAGCATCCAAGAGTAGGATAATCAAATCGGTAAGTCAGATCGGCGATCGAAATGAATCGGCTCGGCGGAAATCGGCAGCCGAGCCGAGAGAAGTCGAATCGGCGGAAATCATCAGGCTGCTAAGGCGGAATCGGGTCAGAGGAGTCGAGAGAAGCCCTGAAAAAGACCCCAGACAGACAAAATGCCTCAGAAGCCCAAGGTTTCACAAGTTCCTACTGCTCAAGGTGATTCCAAGAGAACCTCCGTTTAGCCACAGAGAGCCCAAGATGGCAACAAGAAACTATCAGAAGGTCCAGAATGGCCCCAAGAGGCTACAAGGGCCGTCCGCTCCAAAACAACCCAAAAAGCCCTGCGAAACTGTCCGAAACGGCCTCCGATAAGGCTCAACGCCCAAGAATACCCCCTGAAGCCCCCGAGAGAGCCTGGAAGGCGATCCGGTACAGCCCCAACACGGCGAGGGATCGAGGAGAAGAGGGATACAGAGGTGGGATGGATGAAGCAGGGAAATAAGGGGAGGCGGCCAAGAAGAAGTAAGAGGAGGAGGAACAGGAGGAAGCAGAAGAACAGAACAGAAGCAGAAAGAAGAGAGCAGAAATCACAAGAATATAGTAAGATGAATCGAGGTGGAAGGGGAGGGGAAAATACGGGGGAAGGCGGGGAAGAGAATAACAAGGAGAAGGACGTTTGACGATCCAGACGCAGGTGGATGCGAATCGATGTCACCATGACGGCACGGTGGAACGGTGCCCTGAGGGAAACGGATCTTGGACCCCAGGGTACACCCCGGGACAGTTCAGTTACCCATCTTGGGAGGCCTTTGACGGGCCCGGAGTCCGTGGGGGACCCCAGGTGGGCCCGAAAATTGCGAGATGCTTCGAGAATGTGCATCCCTCCTCCTCCTCCTCCTCCTCTCCCTCCTCCTCCTCCTCTCCCACCTCCTCCTCCTCATCCTCCTCCTGCTCCTCCTCCTGCTGAGTCACTCTGTTCTCCCCATGCCCTTTCTGACTTTAGGTCGCTCCACAACCTCCCCATGCCCTTGCCTCCCGTCCAGGGCTCATTTCGATTCCTCCGACCCTACTCGATTCGATGTCGATCGATTCCGATTCCAATTCGATCCGGCTTCGGAATTTCGGTGTGGATTCCGATGACTCACTGCGAGCCAGCCGTATTCGCTTTGCGAATTTCGACTTCTGCCGACTGAGGTGCCGATTTTCACCGAATCGGATCCGATTGATCGATTCGATTCTGGGCTCTTCTGCCCTTCGCCGTGGGCCCCGAGGCAACGCCGACATGGACGACAACTGGCGCTCCCGGACTGCCGCTGATGCCGAGGCGGCCAAGGACGCGATGGCAGCCGGAGCAGATTTTGGGGCGCCCGCCTGACGCCTGGGACACCTGGAGGGGCAGGGCGGCACCCGGCGCTGCCTCTCCTTGGGCGAAGAGGAGGGAGAGAGAGTGAGGAGGGAGAGAAAGAGAGAGGAGGTGAGGGGAGGGAGGGTGGGGGGTGGGAGGGAGAGAGAGGGAGAGGGGGGGAGGGAGGAGGGAGGGAGGGAGGGAGGGAGGGAGGGAGGGAGGGAGGGAGGAGGGAGGGAGGGAGGGAGAGGAGGAGGAGGAGGAGGAGGAGGAGGAGGAGGAGGAGGAGGAGGAGGAGAGAGGAGGAGGAGGAGGAGGGGGAGGAGGGGAGGAGGAGGAGGAGGAGGAGGAGGAGGAGGAGGAGGAGGAGGAGGAGGAGGAGGAGGAGGGAGGAGGAGGAGGAGGAGGAGGAGGGGAGGAGGAGGGGGAGGAGGAGGAGGAGGAGGAGGAGGAGGAGGAGGAGGAGGAGGAGGAGGAGGAGGAGGAGGAGGAGGGGGGGGGGAGGAGGAGGAGGAGGAGGAGGAGGAGGAGGAGGAGGAGGAGGAGGAGGAGAGGAGGAGGAGGAGGAGGAGGAGGAGGAGGAGGAGGAGGAGGAGGAGGAGGAGGAGGAGGAGGAGGAGGAGGAGGAGGAGGAGGAGGAGGAGGAGGAGGAGGAGGAGGGTGCGGAGAGGGGAGGAGGAGGGAGGGAGGAAGGGGCGAGGCAGCACCAGCGCGTGGAGCAGCTGCCCGTTTTGCCGCTGCTGCCAGGCCTGGGCCCTCGGCTCTCGCGGGGGCCACCTTGCGCACTGGGGGCCCTCTCGCCTGCGCCTCCCCTCTGGCGCCGAGTCTGTCCAGCCGTAAGTCAAACATGTCCTCCTAGAGGCGAATTCTGGGCGACAGATCGAAATATTCCGAAACATATTCAGATTATGTTGTTAACTATTTATTTTAAATATTCCCCCTGTAGAGGGACGTACCCGACTTGAGTCTAGCTGAGCCCCCCCCTCCGTTTGCGTCGACGAGGCCGGCGGCGACTGGAGGAGCTGGGGGGCATAGTCTCTGCGCGCTGCGGCCATGGCGCGAGGCGGTCCGCGGCCGATGCTCGGCCACGCGCTGGGGTGGGGTGGGGTTGTGGAGGTCGATCCATGGAGAGGAAGCGTGCTGCCAGATAGTTTCCAGATGTTTTAAACATGCTTCAAACATGTCGTAAAGTTGTTGTTCTTTGCTTTACCGAAAAATGTGTGTTCAACCACATGTTTATAACATGTGTCAAACAGTTTAAACGCATAGTCGATGTACTGATGGGACTTTCAGAGTGTCCATTGTCATGCCATCCACAAGGGTAGGGAGAGAGGGGAAGGCTTCTTCGAATAGGGAAACGACAAATGACATGAACAGAAAAACTCGGAAGTCCGCGCGGATTTCTCGGATCGGCGCTGGAGCCCTCTTTGGCGCGCGGAGCATGCCAGCGGCGGCGCTGGAGGCGCCGCCAGGAGGGTCCAGCTCGGATCCGAGAAATCCGCGCGGACCTCCTAGTTTTATGTTTATGCCATTTTTCGTTGCCCTATAGAAGCAGCCTCCTTCCAAGAGGCCTTCCCCATCCGCGTTCCCCCCCTCTGCGCACCGCCAAGATGCACGACGCGTGTTGAGAGGGGGTTGATCGTGAAGCCGGTTGGGTTTCTGATGTGGGCCAGCTTTGGTGCCGGTCAGCAGGAGGGAGGGGAAGAAGCTCGAGGTTTTGGGTTCGGGGAGGTGTTTTGCCATTTTCGGTTGCAGGGGGCCGTTTTCAGGCCCAGGGACCGTCAGCAACGGAACTGGGGTGAAACAGAATGCACCAGATGGGCCCAGGGAGGAGTCCGTGGACCGATTTCGAACAGATCTATATCTTGCTCCCCCCGTCTTGGCCGATTATCTCGGGGTACATCCACTTCAGACCCCCAGGCCGCCTGCAAGTGGTCAGAGGCCAGCGTCTCTTGCCTGACTGACAGCGGTGGATAGTTCATGGAAGCCCTTTGAGATGTTGTTCCCAGCGGAACCTCTGCATTTCAGATCGGGTTGATACTTCGGAATAGGTGAGAGGCCAGCGCCTCTTTGCTGACTGACAACGCTAAATAGAGTATGGAAACCAGTTGAGACGCCGCGTGTTGATCTAGAGCTGATCCTTTGGATTAGCTCAGAGGTCATCGCTTCTTGTCTGACCGACAGCGGTGGACGGTCACTGGTCGCCAGAAGACATGTTGTTTCCAGCGGGACCTCTGCATAAGAGTAAAAGTGCAAAGTGGGCTCCCAAAGATGTCGGCATCGTGTGCCACCGGCGGCGTTGATGCTGCCGTCCTGACGTTTATCCACGAATGTGGCGAGGGAGAGATTCTATGGAGCCTGAATTGAGATTCAGTGTCTGTGTCGCGCCAGTGCTGAGTGGGAGGCCCAGAGGCATGCCCCATCCACGGTACCAGCGACAGGAGCCCGACCGCATAGAACGTTGGTACTGACCATCCTCCCTCGCATCCTTGAATGACGTGTCTTCGGCATGCTTTCCTCGCACTGCTGCTTTTGGGGCTTCTCAAGAAGCCGCGTCGCCGAGCGCCTGCGAAAGGGGACACACTCAAGTTCCGAGAAGCGATCCGAGGCTGCTGCCGTGTGGGCCCAGCGCTGATGGCGACTTGCCGGTGAATCCCCTCGCCTCCCAGACCACTGCGAGCACGGCCTTGGAGCATCGCGAAACGGCGAGGGGAGCGACGCACTTGGCGCAGGGCGCGGCACCAGGAGCGACCATCTCGTGGGCGCCGGGCCAGCGCTTCTCTGCACGCCCCGTGCCCCTGGACGGGCCGGGCGTGCCCTGGCCACCCAAGTCCGCCAGGGCCCATCCCTCGGGACGATCGGCATGGGCACGGAAAGATGGGGCACGATGCCCAGCAGCAGTCCCAGACCCCTCGGGTGATGAAAAAATCACGACGGGAGGTTCTTCCAGATTTTCGGCCTCTGGGGGCCCTCACCGAGCCTCGGGACCATCAAAAAGCGATTCAGGATGAAAAACCGGTCCTGGGGAAGGGGCCCAGACATCTGGGGGTCGCATCATGCAGAAATCATGACGTCGGGGGTCTGGGGTTCTTGTTCATTTTGAACAGGGCTCGCTGTCCGCGCCGCCGCGAACGCTGTTCATTGAAGACAGAAGGCCGCCTGCCCAACAGCGGCCGCTGTCGGTTTTGGCCAACCTTCGTTGTTGGGCATTGCACCCATTGTTCCGTACCCATTTCGATCGGTCCGGTTCGATATCGATCTTGGCCGGCCTAACACTTTAACACCCTAACACCCTTGGGCGAAAGAAGTCCCATAGCCGTGATGACGTGGGGCGCAAGGCGCTTTTTCTCAGCGAGGCTACACCATGGGTAAAGGAGCCCAGGGGAGCCCGACTTCGGCACTGTTGCAAGCAGAATATGTGCGTGCGATCATTCGATATCGATCTTGGCAGCCCGATCCGCTTCGGCTCCCACGTGCCGCGACGATCCGACGCGGCCCGAGGCCTCGCAGGGCATTGCCGTGCCTCCTGACGCGGCAGGCCCGGTTCGTGTTCGACTCGGTGCCGATGCGACCTTCGGTTCAGTCGGGCATGTCCCTTTACAGGAGAACATTCAAAAGTGCTCAACAAATAGTCTGGGGAAGATTTTTAGAATTTGTTTGATCTTTGTGTTGGATACGTTTGAGGTATTCTTCGTTTTTCTTCCAACATCTGCCTGTAGGAGGACATGCCCGACCTAAGCATTCGGCCCATCCACCCAGCGTGCCTGCGTTGTGGGTCAAAGTATCATGGACGCCCCTCGGGGTCTCTCAGGATGCCTCTTGGGCGCCTCCTGGGGTCCTCCTGGCGGTCTCTCTTGGAGGCGTCGTGGGGCCTCTCGGGCGCCTCTGGAGACCTCTCGGGAGCCTCACGGCGGTATCGAGGGCCACCTTGGCACAAGGAGGCTCGCAGGGTTCGGATTCCCCCTTCGGGACCGAACACCTCGAGAACCAAAGCACGTTCTTGCCCCATTAATTTGAGTGAACGGCGGGAAATGTCACGCGGGACAGCCTGAGAGCGCCCAGTCGCGCCCCGAAATCTGCGATCTTGGCGTTTCTTTTGAAAGGGGGTATGCACAACACGCCACGAAGAATTCCAAGGGGCCCGAGGATACTTCTATTTCGTGCCTCGAGGCACGGTGTGGAATACTCGCGGCACATCTGTTCGGCATGCGACAAACAACGAAATGGTTCGAAGCGGCGATCCCCCATATGTGCATATGTGTATCTCTTCTCTAGCGGCGAGTCTAGCGTCTTCCTTGAGGGTTCTGCGAGCATGGGCGAGTCGACTTGTGAGCGAGACCAAGGACGACGATTGGATACGAGGAAGTATGTATGCGAGCGGATCTGCAAACGAGCTTAATGAAGCGATATGGGTCTGGCTAGCATCAATCCGCCCGGATGTCACTGGACCTTAGTTCTTAGTACCAGTGAGTCGGAGCGTTTGTGAGTTTGAGTATTAGCGATTTCGGGCATGAGCAGTTGAGTAGAAGGGTGAGGCTGGGCGGGAGTGATACTGAGTATCAGCCATTGGGCACGAGTGAGTCTGAGCGTGGATGAGTTTGGAAACACAGCGGTCGGAGGGCCTTCAGCCCATCCGCAAGTGTGCCTGTGTCTTGGACAAGAGGACTCTTAAATGCCTCTTGGGGTCTCTTGCGAGGCCTTTTGGCATCTGCATAGAGGCCTCGTTGGACCTCTTGGGGACCTCTTGGGGACCTTCAAGGCCCGCTCGCGGTCTTGGAGGCCATCTTGGGGGCAATGGCTCGACATGTCAATTCGTGCCCCCATCCTTTTGACTGGCTTGGGGGCTCACTGGGCCTCAAGAAGGGCTGATACGATTTTGGAGGCCGCATGGGCCGTCTTGGACGCTCTTCAGACCGAGAAAGCGAGCACGTTGAAATCTGATCCCATGATTATCATTCAGTGGTTTGGGCATGTGTTGCGGCCCCCAAGGCCTCCAAGACGGCTCAAGAGGGCTTCAGGGCAGTTCCTTGGACAATTATCAGGCCATGGTTAAGGTGTGGATTCGAAAACACGCTTCGAAGGCTTGCAGAAAAGTCAGGCGAGAAGCCCCGGATGCGCCCAAGAGCCCCGGAAGCGCCCAAGAGCGCCCAGCACCGAGACAATTGAGTAAGGATGACGAGTCTTGTTGCGAGGGAATACAAGTTTCAGATGAGTGAGTCTGCGCATGGGTGCCTCGGCTTGAATGGATATGAGCGTAAATCAGAATTGGTACGCACGAGTCTGACCGTGCGTGGTTCGGCATTAGAGGGTCTGAGCATGGGAGTGCCTGGGTATGTGAAAGTCTGCGTGTGATCGAGTCTGAGTATAACCGACAAAAGGAGCATGGGTGGGTCTTGTTATGAGCGGATCTGAGTATGAGTGAGCCTGGGCATGATTGAGCATCCTAAGACTTCCCAGGCCCACCTGAAGCTGTTTCGGCCTCTGGAACCTTCTGGGAGCTCCTGAGGCCTGTTGGGGGATTCTTTTGGGTTTCTGGGACCACCTGGGCCGTCCCAGGGCCTGGCGTATCCCAGAGCTCCCAGAGTTTCCTTTCGACCTCCTGGGCCCGCCTGGAGACCCTTGTGGGCAGGGCAGGCCGTCTTCTGGGATGGGCGCGGTTGTTGCTAAGGGGATACGGGGGTTTATCAGTGGATGCCAAGGTGGGTTATAGCTGGCCTAACCTAGTTCATTAGTGGGTTGCGAGTGCCCCAAGTGGATTGGGGGGACAGCGATCCAGGATAAGTGGGCCCCGCCCACTTAGCGGAGTTGTTTAATCCCCCTAAGCCGTTTAGGGCATGCGTAACCCATTTATAAGTCAGGTTAGGCCAGGCGAATCCCTTTGGCATCCACTGATCACTCCCCTATCCCCTTAGCAACCCCCGCGCCCATCCCAGTCGAGCTTGGCGGTGCTTCCTGCGATTTCCCAAGGGTTCTCGGGGCCTCGCCGGCTACCCGCGGCTTCCTGGAGCTTCTCCGGGCCTCCTGGAGCCTCCTGGGCATCTTGTGGCTTCGGGGGCCTCCCCAGGAGCCAGGCCCTCCCGGGAATGATGCTAGGAAGGGCGGAGAAGACGCGGGACGAGGACGAGGACGGGCGAGGACGAGGACGGGGACGAGGACGAGGACGAGGACGGGGACGAGGAGGAGGAGGAGGAGGAGGAGGAGGAGGAGGTGGAGGGAGGAGGAGGAGGAGGAGGAGGAGGAGAGGAGGGAGAGGAGGGAGATGAGGAGCAGCAGCAGAGAGGAGGAGGAGGAGGAGGAGGAGGAGGAGGAGGAGGAGGACGAGAAGGAGGAGGAGGAGGAAGAGGAGGAGGACGACGAGGAGGAAGAGGAGGAGGAGGACGAGGAGGACGAGGAGGAAGACGACGAGGAGAAAGAGGAGGAGGAGGAGGAAGAAGAAGAAAGCACGTTCTACAACCCACCCACCCAGCGATTGTTCTACCCGAGAGGCCCCGCCATCTCCCGGCCTCGAGCGGGCCCTTCTGGCCAACACCCCCCTTTGGGCCTTTGGGCGGCCCCCGCGCGCGCGCCTGCCGGCGGCATCGCGGCGGCCGTGCGGTCCTGAGGAGAGGCGCGGCCCATTTCCCGAGAACGAGCAATCTGCATTGAAGAACAGAAGAAACTCATAAACATACAGTGCTGGTGCTCCGCGTGGATTTCTTTGATATCAGCGCTGGGCCCCCCCCCGCGGCGCAGGAGGGGTCTCGTTGCGTCCTGGGCCCCTTTCTTAGGGGGGTCCCGGGGCGAGAACGGGCCCCGGACCAGACCCCCGACGTCGTGATTTGTTCATGACGTGGAGCCTGGACCCTTTCCCGGGGACCAGGTTTTTCATCCGGAGTCTTTTTGTTGACCGTTCCGAGGCCCGGCGAGGGCCCCTGCATGGAGGCCGACCATAGCGAAAAACCTCCCGTCGTGATTTTTGTTTACCACGCGAGGAGGTCTGGGGAGGCCAAGAGACGCCCGGACCGAGAAAGTCGGACCACCGGAGAGCTGCGTCCGCCGCGGCCCGCGGGGGCGCCGGGGAGGGGCGGTCAGGCCAGCGTGCGCGGCACCCGGCACTCCTGGCGCGGCTGCCCGGGGCCCACGGCGAGGCGCCGTTGCGAAGCCCTCGCGCGGGGGGGGTGCGTCCCATCTTCGGGGGATCTCGCCTGTCCCCTAAAGTGGTGTCTTTTCTTGAGCCCGACGCGAGATCGATGCGGACTCGACGCGGATTTGGCGTGGAGTCGGCGCGGATTTGGCACGCTTTCGACTCGGATTCGACGCCGATAGGGCCGCGAAGGGACAGACAAAGTCCCCCGAGGATGCAAGAGAATGGGGAGGCAGAGGCTCCGAGGGTGAAAAGGCACCGATATTACAGTGGTGGCGCGCATCGAGAGACCACACGTAGGTGCTCTGCTACCCCGTTTTGAAACGCAGCACGTGCCGTGTTCAAAACGTCCGGCTTAACACGGTGCGCATGGGCTCAACGCGTTGGCTTGCGTGTCAGCGAACGTGTCGCGCCGAACGTACGTTTTCAATTTCCTTGTTGAGTTCAGCGTCAACACGCGACGGGTTGCGCATTGCGCATCGAGGCGGCAAAGGCACCGAAATTGCTACCACTGCCTCGTGTTCGCATGTGGGGGCCTACTGGGAGGCCTCGTCACCACCGCTGGATTCGCCTCGAGGTTCTGGTCAGAACGCACCCCAGGAGAGGTCCGGGGAGCAGCAACAGCGGTACCGGCTGGCTTCCCCAGAGGCGTGCTCTCAGAGGCGTTGCAATTTGTTCATTCTGGGTGTTGTCGCCCGGCTTCGGGCCCTGGAACCCTTGCAGATCGATCCTGCTCGAAAAGCGATGCAGAAAGATGGTGTCCAGTTGGCGTCACCCCAACATGCTAATGTTATGTGTGCGTCGCCCCCCCCCCCCCCCCCAGGGGCGACGCGCGCACCGATGGATCTGATAGTGCATGTGTCGCCACACCGCTCGGGACCCGATGTACTACAAGATGGGCATACGATGCGTTCAGGTCGGGCGCGCCCCTCCGAGGAGGACATATACGTAGTACTAAAATGTCTTTGCGCATCCCATCCAGGGCTCGGGTGGTCTCCCAACCATCATGTGGTGTTGGGTCCTCGTTTTGAAGAGACAGCCCCGCGCGTCCCTCCTCTCCTCCTCCTCCCCCTCGTGGCGCAGTCCGCATGGCGGCGCCGCCCCATTTTGGAACACCCCTCACAAGCTTCGTGGCACCATAGGGAGCTCCACCTAAGGTCCCAGTGGCGCAGTCCGTATGGCGGCGCCGCCCCATTTTGGTACACCCCTTCACTCGCTTCGTGGTCCCATAGGGAGCTCCACCCAAGGTCCCAGTGGCGCAGTCCGCATGGCGGCGCCACCCGATTTGGGCACACCCCGCACACGTTCTGTTGCCCCATAATGAGCTCCACCGAAGGCCCCAGTGGCGCAGTCTGCATAGCGGCGCCACCCGATTCTGGCACACCCCTCACACGTTTCATGGCCCCTTAAGGAGCTCAGCTCCACCTAAGGTCCCGGCGGCGCAGTCCGCATGGCGGCGCCGCCCCATCGTGGCACACTCCTCACACGTTTTGTGGCCCCCTTGGGAGCTCCACCCTCCATTTTGGCACACCACTCGCACGTTTCGTGGCCATAAGGGGCTGCACCTAAGGTCCCCGTGGCACAGTCCGCATGGCGGCGCCGCCCCATCGTGGAACATCCCTCACACGTTTCGTGGCCGAGCTCCACCTAGTGGCGCAGTCCGTATGGCGGCGCCGCCCCATTTTGGCACACCCTTCACACCTTCCGTGGCCCCATAAAATGGGGGCTCTACATCAGGCCCCAGTAGCAGCGCACGTATGGCTTCGCCGCCCCATTTCGGCACACTCTTCACGCGCTTCGTGGCCCCCATAAGGAGATCCACCGAAGGCGATACGAACAACGACGGTATTCACAACTGCAGATGGTCGGGTCCTTCGCCATGCTGATTATTGCGATGTTCTAACACATGCCCCAAATGGCTCAGGGGGGACCATGCAACTCCGCCAAGCGGGCGGGGGCCACTCCGTCTGGATCGCTATCCCCCCAAAACCCACCTCGGCGTCCACGTCGTGATTTGTTCATGGCGTGGGCCCCAGGAGCATGGACCCCTTCCCGGGGACTGGCTTTCATCCTGCGTCGTTTTTGGACGGTCCCGAGGCCCGGCGAGGGCCCCTGGAGGCCGAAAACAATGAAGGACCGCCCGTCGTGAGTTTTTCACAGCGCGAGGGGTCTGGGATCCCCGTGGCAGCGCATGCACCCAGAGGAGCCCACAGATGGGGAAGTCGACGGGTCTCGGGCGGCCGCCCCCCCCCCAAGATCGGCCCAACGATCCCACAAGAGGCTACCCAGAAGCCTCAGGGGGAGGAGGAGGAGGAGGAGGAGGAGGAGGAGGAGGAGGAGGAGGAGGAGGAGGAGGAGGAGAGGAGGAGGAGGAGGAGGAGGAGGAGGAGGAGGAGGAGGAGGAGGAGGAGGAGGAGGAGGAGGAGGAGGAGTCCCTGCCGCGCAGGAGCCTCCAACAGAGGGAGGCAGAGGCGCACTCGAGGGGTGGGTGGGGGTATTGGGGGGGTGGGGTGGTGGGGGGGGGGCACATCGCATGCCCTCGTCGCGCAAGCAAGCCTGATCACAACGGCCGGTGTATGCCGTTTTGTTTTGCCTTTATGTCTGGTGGGGAATTTGGGTGTTCGATCATGGGCCTCCACAACCATCCACCTTCGACGCCGAAGACAGCCCAAGACCACCCAAGGCCGATGGGCAGCAAGGGGTCCATGGTCGAATACGTAGAGGAAGGCGAGGTGGGGGCGCCGTGCGCAGGCAGCGGCCAGTCCACTGGCGCATGCGGGCGCCGGAGCCATGAGCCAAATGGATCTGAGCACCTGAGGGCTCAGAAGCGGGTCAGTTTCGCAAGCCTTTTTCGGGGAAACGTAAGGCTCGAGATCATCAGAACACGGGCTTGCCGACGCTTCTTAACGGGCCAGTCTTGAAGTTTGATTGTCAAGTGTTCGTGCCCGAGTCTTATTTCTCCCCGGATTTTGCGGACCGAAGCCCCCCATATGCAGCACATGCAGCGAAGGCCGGCGTCGATTTTCGCGCCAGCCAGAATACTACATGCTGCCCATACTTTGCACGAGTGCGTGCTTCCCTCTCGGCTACCACCTTTGCGTCAGTACGCGGTTACCAAGTGTGCACTTGCAGCCAAGACCAAGGGCGGTAATCGTGTGTTGGGTATGACTGCGTTGATGCCTAAGTTGTGGAGTAAACCTCGAGCTACTTTGAGCGAGTCATGGACGGAGGGTTCTGCCTGGCCGCCAGTCCACTCCTCCACAGATTCGGCTCCCCCCGGCGGGTCCCGCCACTGCCAGCGATGCATCGAGGCGGTTCCAGGATTGTCCCAGCACGGCTCCGCCATGTTTTTCACGGGGGCTCCGCGGGCCCCCGGGGCGCTTCTGAGCCGTCCTGGGCGGGATGGCTACACCGAGCTCTCCCAAGAGAAGAGGCGTTCAATGATCGGGGGCCCCCAAACGGGGTGATGACCACACCGTGTGGTGAGTCGGTGGGGATTCGGGTTCACCGGACGGTTTTGGGACTTGGGTCGTTCTCCGAGGATGTCTCGGGCGATTGTGCCTGCAGGGTTCCAAGACCGTGCAATGACGGACCGTGCGGTGAGGTCTTTGCGGATTTCGAGGTCACCGCACCGTCTGTCACCACACCGTTCTGGGATCCCCAAAGTTATCTGAGGGTCTTTTGGAAGGATCTTGGAACTGCCTCTGGCTTTTATTTAAAAGTTTTCAGGACGTCCTGGAGGGTCCTGCGCAGTGCCAGCCAGTGATGAGGCGGTCGTCGGGGGGGAGTCCTCGAGCCATGTTATGGAAGATGATTGGGGTCGTCCTGTGGATGTTGGGGGTCGCCAAGGAGGGCTTTTCGGCCGACCTTGGGGCCAAAAAATGGGAGAGAGCTCGGAAGGAGTTGGAATCGGGGCGATCTTAGTTTCGGTAAGTTGAACATTTGGATTCAAATTGTTTTCTGCATTGAGCAGCAGTGTGTGAGGTGAGGTGTCATCGTGAGGGGTTGTCTGTCTCTCTCTCTCTCTCTCTCTCTCTTTCTATCTCTGCCTCTCTCTCTCTCTTTCTCTCTTTCTCTCTCTCTCTCTCTCTCTCCCTCTCCTCTTCAAGCGCTTAAATATCCAACATACCCAGCTCCATGCTGACGCATTGCTCCTTGCGCCCGCCCTCCCTCCCTAATTACCTTCTGCTGCTCCACGCAGCGGACGGCACGAGTCTTGCGCGCCTGCTGCCCCGGCGAAGCAGACTCGCGGCGCCGCACTTGCTGCACCGTAGGGAAGCGTGCGGATGGCTACGGCGGTATGGGAGGGGAGTCCGCGATGTTTGCCCTTGCCCAAGATAGTTTGCCACATGGTTGTGCATCCCGAATGTCGACAAAGCATATTGTTAGTACGCTAAGTTTGCCAGAGCGTGTGTACCAAGGGGGGTCTCATTTTGCTGTTCACGACACCTGCTTGGCGGGCAATTCGCTTGTCGTCGGTTTTTCCAGCCCTGGTCTCGCATAACACTCCTTAGGGTAAGATTCGCGATCAGATCACAGGGCCCCGCACCGTAAGGCCACTGTGCTTCCTATAAGAAGAGGGGTCGTGGGATATCACAGATGCGCCCGTATGATTAGTTCTGTCCCTTGAGACGTCGCCTCGTTCCGATCAGATAACAGGACACCGAAGGATTTCCCAGTGCTTAGCAGATAGGCGATTGATAATAATATGATTCCCTACTGATAGTGTGCCCTGAAGAATGTGGCCTTAAACAATGTTTGCACGAAAGGGGTCTTGTGTGGTTATGCCTGATCGAGTGACATGCACCGTGCACCGGCGGGATTCGCTACGTCTTGACAGCCACATGATTCCTTTCCACGGTGTACCGTTTCACAGGGACTCACGTCGCGCCCGATGGGGTCCCGCTCTCTAGGGTTTTGTTCCAGGGTCCCTCACTCCGACGTCCCAGACCACCAGATCTTCCCCCACATGTTCCCGTTCCGCTTGGTTCTACCACGTAGGGGCGCACCGCACAGATGGTACCACGTAGATTGCACCGCCCGATGGAACTCTGCACACTGCACCGCAGTGGTTCCGGTCCGGTTCCACTCCTGCGCCGTACTCATTCCTGGCATGTTGGGGGCCGCCTTCGTTCGAGCCAGAAGTTCAAACGCCTCAGACGGGAACATTTTGGCTTCGCAACAGGCTCGGAGTGCCTCAGGAGAGACATTTGTCGTTCCTCAGGCGCTCCTCGTGAATCTAGGTGCAACTGGGGCCACCAAGGGGCTTCGAACCTTGAGCGAGGTTCAGTTCATGGCCAAGCGCTGACTGTGCAGAGGAAGCTCAGAGAGAGGGTGCGGTTCGGAGGCACACTCGAGCATATCCCCACGAGTCCTCGGAGCAGTAACGTCTCTTTAAGCACGAATATTCGAAGAGTACAGTGCGCCGACAGGGGGGGGGGGGGAAGTGTGGAGGCATTGTGCGATGGAAGGCGGAGAGCGGGAGGCATGGGGGGGGGCAGGGAGCTCTCTGCTAGCTCGTTTAGGCATCTAGCCTTTCTGTCCGTGCCTGCAGCACGCGGTTTTTGGCACGATGTGTTGCGCATGCTGTATCAGTCTCCCTCCCCGACGTCTGCTCAACAATACGTACACTGTTCGAGATCAGCTTGTCCAAGCCTCGCAGGTTGCCATCGCCGGGTTCGCTCGCTGCCATATCATGTCGTCGGGATCGATGTTCTCGGAACGTGTATTGTTTTATCGGCCTGACGTGCGAGTTCCTCTGGTGGGAGCGTGCACTTCTTAGGAGAACAAGCAATGACACAAACATAAAACTCGGAGGTCCGCGCGGATTTCTCGGATCGGCGCTGGAGCCTCCGAGGTTTCATGTTTATGACACTGTTCGTTCCCCGATGACGCACGGGCTCCACTGGTGGGAGCGTACTGTCGGCGCACACGAGCTCGCTTCACACGGCGAGCCGCTCGTCCCGCACCCCTCTCCTTCTCATCGCTTCCTCGCGGGCTTCTCGGCTCGCTTCACTCGATCTTTTCCGCGGGCCTGGAGACCGAGCGATTGCCCAGCCAGCGGGCGGGTAGAGGTCCCAGCCTCGGAAGACTAAAAAGGAGCCCGGCACGCGCCACGCCCTCCGACAGCGTTCGGGGGCGGCCAAGGAGGGGGGTGATGACTAGGGGGGGGGATAGCATGGCGTGGGTCATGATACTTCCGCAGATTTCCTTCATATGTCCTGAGAGATGTCCTCAGGCTTCAGATTAGGGAGGCGTGAATCTCATGGGCGGACAGAGGTACCAACTTCGGAAAACTACAAAGGAGACCGGCACGCGCCAAGCCCTCCGACAGCGCCCCTCGAAGAAAGAACGGCATAAACACAAACTTTTGGCGCTCAGCGCGGAGTTCTTGGATCCGCGTTGGGCCCCCCCCGGGCGGCGCTTCTGGTGCCGCCCCTGGCGCGCCAAAAGTTTACGTTTACGCAGTTGTTTCTTCTTCTGGCCCAAGGCGAAGGCAGAGAGCCACCCGCGATGGGACGCACCACCCCCACAGTCCCCTCGGGGCGCGCTCCTCCTGTCCAGACATCCAGCGGCTCGACCAAAAAATCGAGACGAAGGTTTTCCTACCGTTCAACGGCCTCTCGGGGCCCTGACCGGGCCTCGGGACCGTCAGAAAACGTCTTGGGAGGAAGAGGAGGAGGAGGAGCAGGAGGAGGAGGAGGAGGAGGAGGAGGTGGAGGTGGAGGTAAAAGTGGAGGAGGAGGAGAGGAGGAGGAGGAGGAGGAGGAGGAGGAGGAGGAGGAGGAGAAGGAAGGGGAGGGGGCGGAGGAGGAGGTGGAGGAGGAGATGGAGGAGAAAGAGGATTCTGCTGGATTATGCTAGCCTGATATCCGCAGCTGCGAGGCACGCACCACGGCGACGTTGAAAGCTCCGCCTACCCCAGGCCGTCCCCGGGCGATAAAGTTCGGCTTTGGTCAACAAAAGAGCCTTTCTTGAGGTGGGTGCCAACCTGAGCCCTTTCTCGAATGATAGCTGACGACGTGGGCCCCCAACCATCCCTTCGGCCTGCCGTGCAAGCCTTGCACCCAACCATTTCGCGCGCGAGCGGATCCCAGCGTCGTAGCTGATGACTGCCTTCTCGCACTTCCTTTCTCGCACCGACAGCCGTTGCTGCCACGGCCTGTCCTTGTCGCGCGAGTTGCTTCCAGCGTCGGAGCTGAATGTGGCTCGCTCGAGTTTTTCTTGGGCTCCAGCTTGTCCCCCCGCTTCCCGCAAGAGGTTGGCCGTGACGATCCCTTCCCCGAATAGGCTAGCTAGGATGACGTTGGGCTCCAGCGTTGCCGCCCGCTTCTCCCGCTCCTTGCCCTCGATTCTCGCACAATAGCTGCTCACGTCGGGCTCTACCTTCGCCTCCCAATTCTCACAGTAGGGCGACGGTGTAGGAGTCGGGCTGACATTGGGCTCCAGTTTCGCCCCAAGCTTATCGCAAGATGCTGCCCCAGAGCTCTCGCCGAAATCGGGCTCCTGGCACGCCGCAACAGCCCCTGCCGCCACTGCCTGCCTTCCATTCTCGCACGAGTTGCTTTCAGCGCTGTAGCTGATGTGGCTCCTCGTTTCGCGTTCTCCCCGCTCCCATCTTCGTCCACGTCCAGCCGTGGCAACGAGGGGGAGGAGGGGAGGGGAGGAGGTTGTGGTGTGATAAAGGCTGGAAATCTCGCCACCCACCATCTCCCGTTCGTACCGACAACCGCTGCTGCCAGTGCCCTTGCTTCTCGCACGCGCTGTCCCCAGTAGCTCCTGCCGCCACTGTTTGCCCTTCTCGCACGAGCCGCTGCCTGCTGCCACTGCCTGCTTCCTCGCAAACTCTAATACCAGCGCTGTAGCTGGTCACATCGGGCTCGGCCTTCGCCTCCCGCTGCTTGCAGAGAGAGCTTCGCGTTTGGCTCCAGCGCACGGTCTGGCTCCAGCTTGTCTTGCCCTGATGCCAGCATTGTAGCGGATGGCTTCGGGCTCGTCCTTCGTCGTCCACGGCTTCCGTCCATTTCGTCGGCTGTAACTGACGACGTTGGGCTCGACCTTCGGCTTCCCGCAACGCCAGCGCCGGCTGCC